AGACAGAGAATGAATATCAAGGGGAAAAAGACCAGCTTCCAGTTATGGATTAACACACTGTAGAACAGGGACAGGAACACCATCCAAAACTAAAGGAATTCAGTGGAGGCAAAAACTTGGAGCCAAAGGTGACCCTGACAATAGGAGCCCCAGAAAATTTACAGAATCTTGGAGAGAACGTTATCCTTGACCGGATATGGAGTGAGAGTTCAAGCCAATTATATCTGGGTCTTAAGGGCAAGGAGATCCCAGCAGACAGGTGGTTTACAACCATAGGTAAGTGGACTGTGAGTAATTGAAAAATGAAGGTCAATAAAAAGGGGGAAAAAATGAAAGCAAGCAATGGTCACTTAGAGTTCTTCTGAGTTGTTAAGAGTAAGTCCTGCCATGCCAACCTCATTCCCTTCACAACTGGAGTTACTACCCTGATAAATCTGCATGGCCACAAATAATACATCTTGATTTCAGGAAGGCCTTTTAGAAAGTGCCTGAGAATAAAATAAACAAACATGGCTTACACAGTAGCCCAATGAAGTGAGTTTGAAACTCATTTTAACAACTTCACTCAATATGTGTTACTATTTTACTGTTATCTGAAAGGAAGATATGACACTGTTTTCCATATCATTAAACAATTTTTCATAAATAACTTGGTTAAAGAAATCTGCAAATGACACCAGGTTAGGGGGGAAGATGAAATCAAAAGGCAAAATGATCTGGATGGCCTGTAACAAGAAAGCTGGAATTAACAGTATAGAATTCAATAAACATAAATGTAACATCTACCTCTACATATAGAAAGAAAACTAATGTCAGAGGAGAAAGACTTGGATTAAGAGTAGTTTGAGATCAGAAACTTGGAGGTTTTAATTGCTCACAAAACCAGTAAGAACCAACAGCATAACAAGGCTATCATAATACGTAATGTTAGACATTAAGTCCAGGAGGTAATTATCTGAGTATATTAGGCAACGTTCACATCAGAGAGTTTATTTTTATTTCAAAATGTTTTGATTTCAACATTTTATGGAAGCTACCTAATAATCTAGAATATGCATAGAAAAAAATTAGATGATTTTGGAGATTTCTATTTCTTGTATTTGCAAATTAGTAATTCAGTTCAATTCTTCTGCTGATTAAATCTGATAGGATTTGATGATATGTAAAATAGTTCATCCTTAAAACATCAAAGAGCTAATAAAACAGTGAGGAATTTCCTGAGACGAGTTCCAAAAGAGATCATGTTGAGCACACAAAGACAAGACACCAGGAGCAAAAACCAGCATGATGATAATACAAGCAGACACCCTGGGAGTCCAGACACTGAAGTTTTCAAACTTCGACCATAAAACAATTCTGCTTACCTTGTTCGAGTACATAAAAGTCAAGATTGAAAATTTTAGCAGGAAACTAAAAAATCATATAAGATATGGAAATTCTAGAGTGTTCAGAGTAGTCTGAAATACTTGTTATACGAGGAATGTTAAAGGATCAAGAAATTTTTCAGCCATAGGTAAGTCCTAAATCATCAGTTATTTGAAAAAATGGCTCTTCCTATTGCCTTGATCCTGTGTTGCTCCAGAAGCATAACTAGAAGTAGGTATGAAACAGCTAGGATACGGGTATAAGCTCAGTTTAAGAAAAATGTCTCCAACAATTAGAATTGTCCAAAATCAGGTTCACTGCCTCACAGAACTGAGATTGCTGTCATATTAGTGATCACATATATTGTTAGACAATTATGTAGGAGAGAGTCTATCTACTTCAACAAGATAGTAGACTCTAAGGCACTGAGATTTCTCCACTATTATTTTTTATTCCGAGTAGAAATTTAATTGAACCATAAGTATTATTAGAAATATCCTAAAGCACTATTTCCCAACGTATGGCCTGAGAGAGTTTCAGGATTACTATATTGCAGAAATGTTCTAGGGTCGAGAAATTTGGAAAACTCTGGGTTAAGGAAAGTTAAACAAGTTTCTTTCCTTCATTATCTCTTACTGACTCTAACATGCTAATGTGCATTAAAAACATTCAAAGGGGATCTGTGTTTGCAGCACTAACCAAAAAATATATATTTTTATGTTGCATATTTATAAGACAAGTCCTGAAGAATACTTTGGGGGGAAATGGTGGGGTAAATAATTCTAATCTCAATGTTCTCAAAAAAAAAATCAGTTTGTCTTCATTCTATGGGAAATCTCAAGAGAACTGAGTTGGTAATAACAATGCACACATAAATTTTTCATATGGATGAAATAATTAAAACTATCACAATTTACCACAAAAGGCCTTCCCTTTTTCACAATGAGGTACATTGTCTTACTATAAATACTTATAAGTGGCTTCAATGATTTAGCACAAGTTCAGGCTTCGACGATGTACCAACAAATGTCCTCCTAACATATCTAAATTCCTTTACGACCTGTTATAGGCCCATGAACTTGCCTAAGCACTTCTAAAAGCTATTTATAGTTAAAGCTGTTCTAACACTTGCAGTACTTCTAAGCACTTCTAGAAGCTATTTATAGTTAAAACTGTTCTAACTCTCGGAGTACTAAGTCCCCAACGTTGGTTTTTTTCCTATTGCCTTGAGCAAGTTTCTTAAATTCAATATACCTCTGTTTTTTTCCTCTATAAAATAGGAATCACAGGGGCTTCCAGTCAAAATAGCAGAGTTGGTAAATATTATGCTCGCCTCCTCCCACAATCACATCAAAATTACAACTAAATAACAGAACCACCATCATTGAGAACCATCTGAAGGCTAGCTAAACAGGAGTCTTGTAACCAAGGATATAAAGAAGGAGCTACAGTGAGACTGGGAGGAGGGGAGGAAACATGGAACAGGCAGATCCCACTCCCACTGTATGGCAATTAAAAATCGGGAGGGTATCTCGGCTGCAGAAGTCCCCCTGAGAAGCAAGGGATCCAAGACCAACACCTGGCTCCCTAGCCCAGGGCATCAGTGCTGGGAAGAGGGGTCCCCATAACACCTGGCTATAGGAACCTGCAGGGATTGCATCTGAGTGACACAAAGCCCTACTGGAGACCCAGCGGCTCCTCTGGAGGGGCCTGCACATGGACTCCCTCGCTCACAGACTCACTCACCCTGGGCTCCAGTGCAGGCGCAGCAGCTCAAAAGGCGCCAGGGACATGCAGGAGGGAAACGAAATGACTAGCTTCAGGCTGAAGGCCGGATGGGCGGGCTCAGGGCAACTCTTGACAGGGAGGCAGCTTTCTTCCTCTGTTGCTTACCTGCTCCTTCCAGCAGTAGGCTCAAGCGGGCACCAAATCGGAGCTCTCCATTAACCTGGCTAATGCTGTTCACTCTGGCAATTCCCTGAGACCCTGCCCCACCCACTCACACTCCCAGCCTGAGCCATTTCCAGTGGCTTTTCCACACAAGTGGCCTCCCTCGCCTCACACTGCGGACTTTCCTAATCTCTCCCAAAGGTTCACAAACCCCAAACAAGCAGGGACTAACCTCAGTGTGCCCTGTGGCATCAAGCCTGGCACGCTTACTTCTTACTTACAGCATTTATTAGTGACTATATTCACATATGGAAAAAAAAAGGACTCTGAGAAATGTTTAGGGATTATTTTAAGCTATTCAATAAACCAATAACCAAGTAACAAGAAACACTGTTCGATTATCTCACCTATAAATCCACTAGGAGACAGCTCCTGGTGGTAAGAACTAATCCCTTTCCTCAAAAGCTACTTAAACAAAACAAGGTACCAAATTGCTTTTTTGCAGTACTAAAACTATCAAAAGAAAGGAATATGGCCCTGGCCCAGTGTGGCTCCTTGGTTGGAGTGTCGGCAGCACACTGAAGGTTCACTGGTTTGATTCCTGGTCAAGGGTACGCGTACCTGGGCTGCAGGTTCAATCCCCAGCCCGACGCGTGTGCAGGAGGCAACCCATCAATGTGTCTCTCACGTTGATGTTTCCCTCCTTCCTCCGCCCCCTCTCTATCTTTCTCTCCCCCTTCCCCCTCCCTCCCTTCCACTCTCTCTAAAAATCAATGGAAATATCAGGTGAGGATTAACAGAAAAAAAAGCAATATGAAAGTATAAAGGGGAGATCACTCTAGTTAGGGTTAAAATAAGCATTAGTGAGTAATATAAAGATGCAAAGAAAGGTTTAGCTTAACCTTTAGAGAAAATGATTTTGACAAAAAGGTCAATCAGACAAAACCACCATCTGTTTAATGGAGTAGTGATATTACAGTCACCAGGCCCCTTTATGAAAATGCAGATGTATTTATAGACAGGAGAGTAAGGGTCCTACTTAAAGCAGAAGCTCCAAAAGGTTCTTTGCAACCTTTTCATTTGGACACTATTAATGAATGACTTGGTCAAACTAAATTAATTAAGAAAGTTAAAAAAGGCTTTAATAAAATTCTTTCTACTAAACCTTTGTTAATGGATTTGTCTAGCAAAATAAAGCAAGCAGGTATCTTACTGCCTTTCTAGTCACTGAGTTAAAATGTATTATTAAATCCATTTATACATTTTCATAATGGATTCCACAAACTACCTGTAAACATGCACCATTTATCTCGGATCAAGAGGAGGTGGCAAAATAATATTCACTTACAAGCTAGGATAAACTTCCAAATGTCTTAAGTTTTAAAATTTCTCATTCTCAAATTATTGATATTTACACATGTATTATTCATTTTACCTCTATAAGTATTATGTATATTTATTCATATAGCACATAATAATTTAAGTGGTCCAAAACCTAGAACTTTCTCCTAGCCATTTCCTGATATGTAAGCCATCTTCTGTTGTTCAGTCTCCATTGGCTTAATTCTTTTGTCTTTGTTCTTTTGAAATATGCATTCGTTTCACAACCCAATCTAGTCAGCTTCTGGTGGGTGACATTAAGAAACAAGGGTGAGGCCAGAATGCACTAAGATTGATGCCAGGTTCAGAGAATGGAATTAGAAGTGAGAACAATGCCAAGGTAAACTAAGCCATCTTTTACTTACAGCTGACACGTGCTGCAGCAGACACATGACATCGATCATGTCTGCCAGGATTAGGAGTCTGGTAACTGCAGCCAGCAAGGCACGGGCGGCTTGAACCACAGCCTCCCTTTTGGGGAGATAACAGGGGTCATCTGCAAATCTCTCAGCTGATACTTTCAGAGCTTCACCTGAAAAACACAACCCCAGATAAGTCAGACTTGAAATTTCAGCAATGCCTGTTTCAGCATTTATCATCCAACCTCATTCCAAGCGCATTCCATGACTAAGCATAATGTTAAAACACTGTCCGTTGACACTAGAACATTGCCTCTTAATAAACAATGCAGTTTCAAATTGTCATTTGTTTTTGATAAATGTTCTGTCATTTAAGAAGCATGATACCATTTTCCTGCAAGAAAATTGTGCTCACTTGACTAGCAGCATCTAGTAAAATTGTTGTCAACTTCTGCATTTGCTGAATCTCATTTCTGTGAAAGGTTTCATTACTAAGACTTCAATTGAATACAATCTTGTGTGTAAGGTAAATCTACACTGAGTTACTTTCCAATTCAATGGATGTTAGAAAGCAGCTCGCCTTCTTAAGATAATAAGACAGCAACTCTCTGATAAAAGTTTAACATCGGCAGTTTTATCCTAAACTGTCAATATAATAAACTATAACCCAAACTTAGACACAAAAATAATATTTCATAGTTCATCACTATTAAAGGAATCTTGCCACTATTATTAAGGGTTTTTTCACTTAAAATACACTTTATTATAAAAGTAACATGTAATCATTCTTTTTGGGGGGCATAGTGGGAGCTGAATGAATTTTCTTGATTAACAAATGGGGTATCCAAGGCCACTTCATTGAGTGTGGGTAGGGGAAGGGAGGGACCAGGACTACCTGCCACTCACACTATTTACAGATGCAAGCAAGGGGGTGTGGAGGGTAGAGCTCCCTGCTCCCTCCTTCCACTAGAGAAGGGCAGAGGCTAGAAGAGAGAGAGATGGGAGGATGGAAAGGGGGGGAGATTTTTTGGCTGGTGGGGCCCCCCTTCCATTCCCTGGGGTTTGGGGGGAGGGGAATCATTAAAGTGCTTTCAGAAAATGAGGAAATGGTCCCAGGCCATGGAGTTCCTTCATTTTTAGAAGTTCACAATCCAGCCCTGGCCGGTGTGGCTCAGTTGGTTGGAGCATCGTCCCACACACCAAAAGGTGGCAGGTTTGATTTACAGGTCAAGGCACATACCCAGGTTGTGGGCTGGATTCCCAGTTGGGGCACATGCAGGAGAAAACTGATCCATCTTTTTCTTTCTCTCTCTCTCTCTCATTCTCTCTCTACCCCCCTTCCATCCTTCCTTCTCTCTATTTATTTCTCTCTCTGAAATCAATAAAAATGTATTTTTTTAACTCACAATTCAGAAGGGTATAAAAATGAAAAGAAAATTCCTTCTTCACTCCCTCCAGTAACATAATTGTTAAAGAACTACCACATCCACTGTTTTTTAAGTTTTTCAATTTAAATTTATTTGTATTATAAAAGCAGTATGTACTCATTGGTTTTAAATTATTCCCTGTACTAAAAGTATAGAATGAACATTTTTAAGCCCCATACTAATCCTCAAAAATACCCATTAAGTTCTTGAATATCTATCCAGAAATTTTTCATGTTTTGTGCGTTTGCATTTATGTGTATAGATGTATAGTTACATGTATATATATTTATTTGTTTTACATGTGTATATTTTATGAATATATTTACATATTCATATACACTAATATATATAACATATTTTAGAGAGATTTTATGTCATAAGAAAATATATATATTTTGTTATAAATGGGCCATATAGAAGATATAGATATAGACCCTTTTCATAAATGGTATCATACTATGAAAGCTTTCTACAATTTGCTCTTTTCACTTATCAAATTATTTCCTTTTCACATTAAAATACAGGAGGCTCTATAGTACAGTAATCAACAGTGGGGTTCTGAAGCCATTCTGCTTCAGTGTCTCTGTCCTACTATCTTGGACAAGTCACTTAACCTCTGTAAATGGAGCTAATAATAATACCTACAATTTTTATGAACATTAAGTAAGAGCAATGCTTAGAACTTAGTGAAGACTGATTAGCTGGTATTGTCCTTTTTAATGCTTGACTAAAGTTACATTTTATTGATATACTTATTTTACCATATTGAACGCAAACATCATTTCCAACTTTTTTCTGTTTAAACAATGCTACAAAGGACCCCCTTAACATATACCTTTGCATGCATGAGCAAATTTAGCTGTAGGATAAATTCATAAAAGTAGAATTGCTGAGTCAAGAGGCAAATGAATTTTAAGTTTATATATATATGTTTTAAGTTTATATACATTACTTATATATAAATTTTAAGTATATGTGTGTGTGTATATATGTATATACACATAGGCAGAAAATTCTCCAACATACAGCCATCTTGCCAACAATATATGAAAGAGCCTATTTTATCCACTTTACTCCATGAATATTTGTTTTCATTTATTCATGAACTTCAGCATGAAGAAAATGGAATACATTATTTTTATTAAATATAACAAAGAATCGTGTTTCTTATAATGGAGGAAACCTGTGAAGAGGGCCTGAGACTATCTCAGCATGTTAATATATCACATTCAGCTCTCTTAAGCAACACCAAGTAAGGGACTCAGACTCTTAAATCAGATACTTCTGATATCAAATTCTAATCTACCACCTTCTAGTTTTGAGACTTGGACATTAATTACTTTCAGTGTCCTTATCTATAGAAAAGAGATAAAATATGACTTATCTCAAATATTTCATAATATATATTTAGCACAATATGTGAACATGGAAAGCATACAACAAGTATTAGCTGTTATTTTCTCAGGAAATTTCTAGTATAGATGGCAAAATTTTAAAACCAGTAAATGGTGATTTTCATGTGTTCTTCTGGAAGTCACAATTGCAGCTAGGAGCTGTGAAAAATTAAAGTGACCTCCAAAATTTAGAGAGCAGATGAATCCCCACAAAAAGATTATCTTTTCTTGTCATGATTCTGAATTGAACAGTTATGATAGCCTTTGTAGAATACTGTCTTTGACTTCATATACTAAAACTAAATATATATCAAAAAAGAATTATGTGTTCTTGACTAAAAGTTGAAATGTTCAACAACCGGCAGAAGAGCCATACTCAGAAAAAGATTATTTAAACATTGAACAATCACAGTCTTTGTCTCCATTAGGTAATATGAAGAGCCAAACAAGTAGCACTGTTGGGAAAAAAGTCCTTGAAAATACCACAAGAACAAGTTTCAGAAAGCTTCCTTCTACTGGATTCATTCTGTTCTTTTCCTATTAAATATGCTTTTTTTTTTTTTTAAATCCTCACTTGAGGATATTTTTTTCCTTTGCTTTTCAGAGGAGGGAAGGGGAGAGGCGGGGAGAGATGTGAGAGAGAGACATCCATTGGTTGCCTCCAGCATACACCCTGACCGGGGCTGGGGATCTAGTTTGCAACTGATGTGGCCAAAACTGAACCGTGGACCCATCAGTCCCCAGGCCTATGCTCTAACCACTGAGAAAACTGGCTAGGACTATGCTCTTTTCAACCTTCAAAAAGTCAGTTATGCAGTGCTTTTCTTGCATATAGTACTAAGATATATATTTTACAAAGATTTATATAGGTACATCTTGATGAAAACTTCTGAATTTGATATATAAAAGCTTTACGTGATCACATGAATAAACTCTAGGAGTAAAAAAAGAAAGGAAAAATTGGGGGCCAAATAGACATGTTAAAAATATTCTTTGCTTTATAAAAGATACCTATGTGGTTCTTTTTTTGTATCAGCAAAACATCCAGAGGAGGAAGGGGAACAACTAAAATGAACAGGAGCAAGAACTAAAAATCCAATTTCCTTCAACTTTTATAATTAACATTATATTTATTATTCAATTAAGATTCTTAGTATATGCCTCTGGCCACCCTTCTGTGTGTGCTTTAATATACCATACACATGTAACATGCACCAGTGCATTTTAATTGATTCAATATATAATAACGTGCTCTGGTATAATGGGATCCCAGGCTAAGACTGGGCACCAGGGGTTTGATTTTATTTGTTTTTAATTGGGAAACAGCTATTTTGAATCTGAAAGCTCCTAAAAGATAGGAGCTTGAATTTAACTTTGGAGCCAATTGATTATTTTTTGCAAGGTAGAAGGGAGGAGAGTGTCAACTAGGTCCTAAATAAAAGGGAGGGAGGGAGGGAGGGAAAGAAAAACCCTTCTTTAAATGTTTGAGACAAACTGATTGCATGGAACAAAAATAATTTTTATAATAAAGAAAAACTTTCTCATGGTAGAGGGAAGAGCCGAAAAGCTTAGCAGCTGCTATGTAGACTCAGGCTTGCGAGCTATAAGGACATCAGCTGGACCTAGGAACTCAGAATGTAGCTGCAAATGGTTGTCATTGTCAACTACTGGCCGTGGGGGTTTTTTCCCTTCTCATTATCTTCAAACTCACAGTAAATTCTTATTAAAAGTTGTAATTTGGGTCCTGCCAAGGCAGAGTAACAAAGACTAGATTTTTTTCCTATCTGAAATAACCAAAAAATAGATAAAATATATTTTTCAAAATGGTTGTGAAGGCCTTAGGCATCATACAGTAAAGAACAGTAATCCCTGAGAAATGAGAAAAAACAGGAGGAACCCTTTGATAGCCCTAGCTTACTGTCTTCACAGACTTTCCAGACCACAGACAGGAAGGAGAAATTAAAATAGAGCCTGGTAAACTCTTTGAGCTGAAGAGACAAAGCTGAAAATCCAGGGACACTGTAGCAACTAAAGTACATAGGACAGAATGGGAAAGAAGAAAACCACACAAGAGAACTCAAGTCTGCAGAGGCTCCCCATTGAGTATTCAGCTTACTATTGATCAACACACACATGAAAGAAACTACCCAGGGCAAGGGAAAGAACCATACAAAAAGATTTGAGGTAACAGTACTTGGTACTCATACAGGGCTGGGTATAGGCTTGTTCTTACCATGACTCATGGGACATTGGATAGAGTATATAGTAGGGTCTTGCCTCAATAGTGGGAAATAATTAGCCCCAGACCGAGCATGGTCCCAGTCCCCCCTAACAGTGCTTTTCAGAGGGAGC